TGGAGGCTCTTCTTAGCTGTTTTATTGGTTCTCTCTGGTAACGGGGACAGCTGATGGTTTAGCTTATATTGGTATCAAATCTACTGGTCTCCTTTTAATTGCTTTTCCCCACACCCTCCACTGTTTTGAGAGAGCCCTCTGTCTCGAACTTCCTTACACACTTGTGAATAAAGTAAGTTCCTTTGGAAAGAGATTTGGGAGCTCACTGTTTTAAGGCCTGTCCCTTGGTAAAACTTGGGCCTGGTAGCTTTTTATTACTGTGTTTCTTCCTTTGCTGTATGTCCTTAGGACCTTTTCCTTTGACTTTAAACGGTTGTGTTCTATAGTCTTCATCAGTTTCACTAGGGAGTAGGTTCACATAGCTTCTCAAGTTGTCATGCTGGAAGTCTATCCTCTGATGTGTTTTTAGCAAGATTTTTAAACCTAATTCCAAAAATCTGATAAAGATAATGCCAAAATGAAACTGTAGATTAGTTTATTATTAAAGAATAAAAGTGTTAAGTATAATATTAGTAATTACCAATCTGATAGTGATTCAAGTGTTTACTACACTATAATTAAGTAAAGTTTGTTTCTGGACTACAAGGATGGTTCAGTAAGAAATTAGCAACAGTATCAGTATGAAATGCTGGAAATGAAAACTGTATATGCAAATTGTGATTATATTCTTAGAAAAGCTGAATGATTCCAAGAAAATGGTCTTTGAATTAACAGAATGTAATAAAGGAGTGGAATTCAAGATAATATCCAGAAAGTAATGGCCTTTCTCCATTCTGGTAATACCCAGTTAAAATGGGGAAAAATCTACTCACAGTAACCCCAAAGTGTATAAAATAACTAAGAATATAGATTTAAGAAGAAACGCCAAGGATAGGAAATAAGAATTCAATGAATAGAGGAATAATGGTGTTCTTCATAGGAGGTTTAATAGCAAAACAAAACAAACACTACATCGCCCCATAATTAATGTGGACAGTTCATGGGATTCCAGTCATATTCTGGCAAGGGGGACTGGATGAAATTGCTTTAAAGTTTATGTTGTAGAATTAAGTCTAACAACAGCCAAGAAAAAAAAATTTTTTTAAAGATTATATTTATTTATTTGACAGAGAGAGACACAGCGAGAGAAGGAACACAAGCAGGGGAAGTGGGAGAGGGAGAAGCAGGCTTCCCGCTAAGCAGGGAGCCTGATATAGGGCTCGATCCCAGGACCCTGGGATCATGACCTGAGCCAAAGGCAGATGCTTAACCAACTGAGCCACCCAGGCGCCCCAACAGTCAAGAAAATTATAGAAGGGGTGGTAATTGGGTTCAGGGAGTTGGTTTAGCAGATATGACTTTTTTCAAAGCCACTGCAATTAAAAACAAAAAGTGATATTGGCATAGTAATAAAGCAGTGGAACCAGAATAGAGTCTAATGAAAGATGCCAGTATGTTTTGGAACTTAGTAATTGTCAAAGTCAGTACAGGTTCCTTATCTGAAACTCTAGGGCCAGATGTTTTCAAATTAGTTTTTGAATTTCAGAACAGCTACATGGTAATGATCACTAACATCCCTAGTGGGACCTGGGAAAATGACTTGTAGTTGAGCCATCAATAATGCCTCAAATGACTTATGTAAGTGGGATAAATAAAGATGGTATAAAAACACAATGGAGGGACGCCTGGGTGGCTCAGTCAGTTAAGTGGTTGCCTTCGGCTCAGGTCATGATCCCAAGGTCCTGGGATCGAGTCCCGCATCAGGCTCCTTGCTTAGTGGGGAGCCTGCTTCTCCCTCTGCTTGTGCTCGCTCTCTGACCAGTAAGTAAATAAAATCTTATAAATATATGCATACGTATATACATACATACACAATGGAGCTTAGGAGAAAACTCTTCCTCTTCTTGTGGAGAAGGGATTATTATAGACCCATATGTCAATTTAATGGAGAAACAATTGTTTATCTCATTAATTTCTGGGGAGAAAAGCTAGACCCCTAACTTCCTACCATATATTAAATTCCAGAAATAATATGAAAAATAAAAGAGCAAAATTTAGAAGATTGTTTACCTTGAGGTTACAGAAAGCCTTCCTGAGCAAGCCAGGAAACCCAGAGGTCATGGAGAAGATGACCTCCTAGAATGCTGGGCAGGTGGCCCCATGTGTGTATTGGATCACTCACGTTTACTGGTGGGCGGGAAATGCCACAAGAGGTCTCATCCTTCTTTTTTCTTTCCTTCAACCACAAAAGTATCCAACAGTAGTAACATCTGATGCTGCTGAGGAAGCAAAAGGATAAGTACATTGTTTTAATACAGGTGGAGGAAGCCGACTTACTATAACTTAATACAACTTTTTTGCAGAGTACTGAGGCACCATCACTTTGGGGAACCTGTTGGGTAGCACCAACATGGAAGTATTTAAGTTTATTCTGGTGGTGTTTGGTTCTTGTAGCGAAAGTCTGGAAACCATGTAAGTGTGCTTCCCTTGGGAGTTGTGTGCACACCTCTATGCCTACAGGGAGGAGGGTCATGTGTTGGCAAGTAAGGAGGTGCGGAGGAAATGGTGTGACCTAGCATCCTAATTGTGCATCTTTAACTTGTCTGATTTTGATCGTCGTGAGGGCTATCCGTATTTCCCCAAATGGTAGAGAAAATGAGTAAAGAAGAAAAGGTGAAGGTGGGAAAAGGGAGTAGAAACAGCAAGCGAGAGGATGATGTAAAGGGTTGGCTGGGGCGGGGCGCCTGGGTGGCTCGGTCGTTAGGCGTCTGCCTTCGGCTCCGGTCAGGAGCCCGGGGTCCTGGGATCGAGCCCCGCGTCGGGCTCCCTGCTCCGTGGGAAGCCTGCTTCTCCCTCTCCTACTCCCGCTCTCGCTGTGTCTCTGTCAAATAAATAAATAAAATCTTTAAAAAAAAAAGAGTTGGCTGGGATGCAGCAGTAGGATTCCTGGGGGTGGGCTCCCCCATGCCAACAAAAATGGCTTTTATCATCTGCTGTCAGCTTATGGCTTTACACATACATTATCTTCATACTGATGAAAGTGAGATTTGCCTGTACTTACACAGTTGAGGAAACCACTTAGCATTTCGGTGTAAATCCTTCCCGACAAAAAGGCTCTGGCACGTTATACAACCTGGCCCATCACACACCTTTCTCAGCACACAGGAGGAGATGAGCCCTATTTTTTTTTTTTTATAAGATTTTATTTATTTGAGAGACACCGAGAGGGCACCCAAGCGGTGGGGAGGGGCAGAGAGAGAGGGAGACTCCCCCTGAGTGCAGAACCCCACACGGGGCTTGATCCTAGGACCGGACCATGTGAGATCATGACTTAAGTTGAAGTCAGTTGTCTAACCGATTTAGCCCCAGAGATGAGCCCTATCTTAAGGACTGCATGGTGTTCTTTTGAATGTTTTATTTAACTACTTCACAGAAATTTTAGGTGCTTTCCACTTCTTCACTACTGCAACTATGTGCATGAATGTTTCCAAGTCTTAAACTTAGGCTAGAGTCTTGTAAAGAATTACTGAGGCAAATTTTCGAGACAAACTTTTAGTTTTGATACATTTTATCAAACTGCTTTCCAGAAAGTAAGTAAACAGTTGACCCCGTCACCGTCAGGGTAGAACGGTCTCTCTTCACTTTTGCCATTTGGGGTATAATTCATCATCCTGGGAATTCTATGGGTTAAAAGGAGGTACATCACTTAAATGTACTGTTTGACATTTGTATTCCTGCTCTTATATCCTCCCTGTTGATCCTAAAGAGTTCCTTGGATATGGGCAGCTGGCTTCTTGTTAGATGTTGCACCTCTGGCTTTTAGTAGGTTTCCTAATTTGTTCACTGTTTGTAGTTTTTATGTAAGCACATTAGATTTCTGCTGTACAGCTGTAAAGACTTATGTCTTTAATCAATTACATACAGTACGTATGGTGTGGAAGAATGGAGCATTCGAGCAAAGATCAGATCAGGTCTTGGCTCCATGCTTGTAGAGTGGCCCTACGCTTGCACCCAAGGTACACTTGTACACTTTCACCACGTGGTTAGTGCTTGGCTGTGCTGAGCTCGGGGCAGGAGGGTTTGGGAGGGCTCCGCAGATCTAGTGGGGTGGGGGAGGGGGGCTTTCTGGCGCCCAGACCAGCCTCTCCAGCCCTCCCTGCCTTGCCTGCAGCTCATGATGGAGCAGTCCAAGAAGTCCTCGCTCATGGTGGCCCGCAGCATCCTCAACAACAAAATCATCAGCAAGAAGCTGGAGCGCTACCTGAAGGTGAGGCGCGCAGGCCCCTGGCCCCCGGCCCCCGCGGGTCCTTCCCTCCCTTCAGTGTTCGCCTCCTTCCCCACAGGGTGAGAATCCGTTCACCGATAGCCCCGAGGAGGAGAAGGAACAGGAGGAGGCCGAGGGCGGCGCCCTGGACGAGGGGGCGCTGGTCGAAGGGGCAGGGGGCGCGGAGGGTGCAGAGGGCGCGCCGGCGCAGCCCCCAGTGCCCCCGGAGCCGGCCCCCGAGGCCGCGTCCCCGCCACCACCGCCGCCCCCGGAGGAGGAAGAGGAGGCCGTGCCCCTGCTGGGCGGGGCGCTTCAGCGCCAGATCCGCGGTATCCCGGGCCTCGATGTGGAGGCCGACGACGACGAGGAGGGTGGCGGGGGCGCACCGTAACCCGGGCTCCGGGCGGGCAGGACCCGCGTGGCCAAATCTGGAAGCCGAGCCTAATAAAGCTCTTCCCATCCCACTTATTTCTCGTTAGTTTGTTGCTGTGCAGCACGGTAAGCGTAGGAAGGAGCGGGACTCGGGAAAGGGTGGGAGTGCGCCTGCGCACTGGCGGCGGGAAGGAAGACGGGAGCGCCTGCGCGCGGTAAGACTCCGTGGCCGGACCAAAACTCCCAAAATGCTGTGGAAGCCGAGCCCAAGCAACCGGAAGGCCCGCTGGGGCGACAGGGGCGGGTGCGCAGTGAAAGCCAGCCAATAGTGGTGTGCGGAAAGAGTGACGTATGCTCCTGGTCTTCCAGTAGCGGACGGCGGAAGGTGTGTTGAGCGCATGCGTTCTGTGGCAGCCTAGAAAAAGGGGCTGCTGGCGGGCCGAGCTGAAGACATGGAACAGGGCTACGGAGGTTCGTTTGGGTGGCTTAATGCGGGGTGGGGCGGACGGGCGCTGCCTGGGCAACGCAGCCCCTGCTGCGTAGAGGGCCGCGGGCCCGGGCCTACGCCAGAGTGCGGTTACTCCAGCCCGACCCAGCGGAGAGGAGGCAGGGGCGCGCGTGCGCGCTGCTCATTGGACCTCGGAGCCGTCGCTCCCGGGGCGCTGCGTGCGGATTGGCCGGCGAGGCTTGGGGAGGCGGGCGGGGTTTGGCGGACAGACGCTGCGGCGGGCTTCGGGGGGCGCCTTGGGCTGTCCTGGCCGTTTCTGCCCCTCAGCCCCGGCGAGGCTGGGCCGGTCGACCCCGCCGCTCGGAGGCCCGCCTTCCCCGTCGGAAGACCACAAAATGGCGGCGCCCGGGGGCGGAGCCACAGCGAGAGCTCGTGGGGCCCGGGGTCCGCGGTTGGAGGCCGAGGGAGTTCGGCTGCCTGTCTCCGGGCTGTGGCGCTTGGCTGGGGCCTGCGCGCGGTGCACGTGGTCCGTTGCGCCGGGCCCGGAAGCCGTCCAGGCCGCGCGGGGTCGGACCTCTCACCTCCAGCCTCGGCATGCAGCGCGGTGGTGTTGAGCACGGCCTCTGCAGGGGTCAGTCTCGGCGGGCTCCTGCCCTGTGCATGACTCGTGCTGGCCTAGGGACGAGACTTGGGGGTCAGGTGTTGGGTGTCTTTCTGCGCAAAGTTGGAAACCTGATGTGCGCGGGGGGCGGGGGGGCGTGGAGGTGGCTGAGGGCTGTGAAAAAGGGAGTGTGCCCCTTGGGCCTCGAGGGCCTGCGGCAGGACGGATCTTCTCGAGAGACCCGGTCTCAGAGTCCAGAATCAGAGATTCCTAGGAGGCTTTTTTAGTCTGTGCTGGAAGCCAAGTTTGCCCGCAGGGAGCAATCGAACTTTGGAATACGTGGGTTAGGGCTTGACCAGGTGCAGTCCTTATCCAAGTATATGAGGTTGGGGAAGCAAGCAGTCTGATCTTGGCTGTAACAGCTGGAGAAGGCACAGATCTTGAAAGGTGGCAGTGTTAGGATACAGCAGCAGGAATTGCCAGAGGTCCTGAGGTGCACAATGTGCTTGGGTGTCTCCAGGGTCCTGGCGTACCGCACCCTGCCTTTTCCGGTCTTTTCTGCAGTCTTACCAGGTCTCACAATCCTTTGTCAACTTCCCACCAGATCTTTCAGACAGTAATCCTGCCCCACGCACACCCTTAGCATGAAGAGGTTTTATTCCCCTCACTTCCTGTCTGCCAAAACCCTTCAGGCTCAGTTTAGATGGTTGGGCCTCCCTGAATCCTTCTGTAGCTTTGCCACCTAGGGTTATTTCTCAGGACTTGCTGAGCCTTGACAGCTGTTCTCTGGCTGTAGGAGGCACCTAGATCTGAGTTCACGTCCCAGTTCCATTCTCCAGCTTCATGATCATGGGCAAGTGACAACTAGCTACTTGAGCCTCTGGGTACAACAGGGTAAATATTACCCACCTAAAGGGGCGTTGTGAGGTTATGTGATTAACGTATGCTACTTAGATGAGTGCCCTGTACTTGGTCATTTGCTGATAGAATCGCTGCTCCGTCTTTCTGCCTCACACACATAGTAGGCTGTGTGGCTTGGGGAGACTAGCTTGCAGAGGGCAAACAGCAGCAGCGTGTCTTTGGATCAAGTCCCCTAACCTTTAAGCGTTAGCTCTCTCATCTCTAAATGGCATTCAGGGACACTAACGTGTGCTCGGTGCCTGTTGTGCATTGGCACACACTGGACATTTAGCTAGTGGCTTGGGTTCTGGTAAGAGAGGGTGTATTCCTATTTCTGTAATGTTGGGGATTGTTGACAGGTGTGGATAGCTGCCTGTGCCCAGCTCTGTTTTGAGGTCCCAGGGACACAGAGATGAAGCGGGCCCAGACATGCTGTCATGGGAGTCCGCAGGGGCCAGGGAAGCCACCACAGAGAGGAGTGCAACCCGGCTACCTTAGGCCAGGCTGAAGCCCTGGGACTTGAAGGCCCAGGGGAGCTTTGGAGGGTCCAAAACACAAAGAAATGAGGCCTACAGAGACACTGTTGTCGTCTCCAAATTCTGAATTTTGTTTTTTGGTTATGGGGGACTTAAGGCTGCTTGGTGAGCCAAACTGCCCAGGGGTGCAGACACCACTGTGTCCTCCTACTGGGCCAGCTGTCGGTTTGTCCTGTGTTCTCCCGAGTTGTGGGTTGAGACTTTAGGCCAAGGTCCCTCAAAGCCAAGTCCCCCCAGCTCTTTTCTGCTTGGACCTCAGGCAGGTGGAGTATGGTAAAGCAGTCAACCTTGTGGTTCTGCTGCCTTGTGAGACTGGCACGAACTCTCCTTCAGGGGGCTCACTTTTGACTCCTCGGAACATCTCACAAGCACCTGTTGTCTACTGTGACAAATAGGATCCTAACTCACAGTTCTTCTCTTCACAGGCTATGGGGCATGGAGTGCTGGACCCACCAACACCCAAGGTGAGACTGTATGGGGAGGCACGGATTCCACCCCCACAGGTGTGATCTGAGGTACTACCGTGACAAACCTAGGGATGGTGAACTGTGACCTGGAGAGGCTGACAAGAGGACTGGGGCTAGCCGGGAGATCCGGAGACCTATTCTGTAAAGGGCTACATAGTAAAATTTTTTTGGCTTTGGGAGCTATACAGTCTCTGCAATGCAAAAGTCACACATGTTTACAAAGAAATAGATGTGGTTGTGTGCCGGTGATATTTACTTGAGGGCGCTGAAATTTGCATACCATATAATTTTCATATGTGATAGTCTTTATTTGAGGAATTTGGGTTATTCTAAGTAAACAGCCAAGGGTATGATGAAAGATTTTTATGATCGATAGACTTTATTTTTTAATAGTTTTAGACTTTTTTGGGGGGATTGAGCAGATAGTGCAGGATTCCATATGCCCCCTCTACTTTTCACCCCAGGAGTTTCCCTTATTAATATCTTCCGTTAGTAGAATACATTTATTGTCAGTAACAAGTCAATGTTGATACTCTGTTGTTAGTTGTGATCCACAGTTAACAGTCATCGCTTGCACAGTTCTGTGAGTTTTGACAAGTATATGAAGGACGACGCAAAGAATTCATTCCACGTCATGAAATATTCTTTTTTTTCTTTTTTTAATCTCCCAACCATTTAAAAAAGTAAAACCCATTCTTAGCTTGTTGTCCGTACAAAAACAGGCAGTGGGCTAGATTTGGCATGGGGACCTGATTGCTGCCCCTGCTCTGGAATCTAGATCACGATGCTCTGTATATTTGAAGGACCAGAATGTCCTCCCTGGTGGTGAGGTTTTCTGCTTTTTGCCAGCATTTGTTCCGGGGGATGGGATGAAAGCTCTGTTTTCTGAGCCTGGAACTTGCCCTTAGCGCCATTGGGGGTGGTGGAGTCACTTTTTCACCCATCACCAAGTTTTCCAGGAGGAGGCCTTCCATGTCACCAGGGTACATAATGTCCCCTTGTTCAGTTGAGTTGGGGACATGATTTTCCACTGATGTATTGTCCGTGCTAGTGGTGTCTGAGCTCTGGCTACTGGCGAGAACTGGCACTTTTGAAGGGCTCTGCCAGGGGATCTGGCCTCTTGGCTGGTGGCCCACACTGGACACTTCCTGGGAACGCTGCAGCGTCCTTTCTGTTTTCCTGCTGGGGGAGATGAGGCTTGTCTATGAGAGAAGTCTTGGTTATGCTTAGCTGAGTGCTCCGTAGGAAATGAGTTTTACAGCTAGTGGGCCCCAGCCATTCCTGGCCTTAATGGACAGCCAGGGGTGCCTCCCACAGCACTGCCACAGCCACCCGCGGCCCTAGACTTGCGGATAGTGGAGGTGACGATTGGCAGGGGCTATCTCAAGTACCTTCACTCTGTATACAAAGCTTTTGTGTGTTTTTGTTCCCTCTAAGGTGCCTATGGAACCGGTGTGGCCAGCTGGCAAGGTAGGCCCTCCGGGTGTCTGTGGGTGGGCAAGACATTCCTCTGGTCAGCCACCCAGAAGCGCTGGGTTACAGGGACCTCCCATCCCCATCTCCCATTCTAGCTGTGCTCCTAGCTCTCCTGAAGGCTTGGAGGTCCGGGCATTCTCAAGGAGAACTGGCTGGAGGCCGGGGGTTGTGGTTGTGTTTTTGGAGCAGCAGCCCCCACTGCCACTCGTGGGCTCTCAGCCACCTCTGGCTCTGGGTGGGGAAGAAGACTTTGGATCTGGCACAGAAAGCCCGCGGTTCACTGCTGAGGCTGCGCACCGGCCCTTCTTTTGCTGCCTTTTGGCAGGTGATGTGCACGATGTGGGGTGATGCCAGTGACACTTGCTTCTTTGACACTCTCCCTTCTGTATGGGTAGTGGGTGCTTCTCCCCAGACGTGGCTGCCGTAGACTGACCTTGTGGCTGCTGAGATCTGATTTGGCTCTTCCTCTCTATGGCAGGTTTTGAAAACTACAATTATTATGGCGCCCAGAACACCAGCGTCACCACAGGAGCGACCTACAGCTATGGCCCAACCTCGTGGGAGGCCACCAAGGCCAGCGATGGCCTGGGAGCTGGGGGCCCTGCTGTGCACATGGCTTCTTATGGCCCAGAGCCGTGCACCGACAATTCCGACTCCCTCATTGCCAAGATCAACCAGCGTTTGGACATGATGTCCAAGGAAGGAGGCAGGGGCGGGAGCAGCAGCGGTGGGGAGGGCATGCAGGACCGGGAGAGGTGATTATGGACCTGAACCCTTCCCTGGGGATCCCCCCCAACGCCCCGGCTTTGTGCAGATGGCAGTGGGCACCCCCTCTTCCAGGGAGGGCTTTTCCCCAGCTCCCTCCTGAGTGGAGTAGATGAGTCGGGCAGTTACTGGGGCAGAGGCAGTGGACTATTTGGTGTCCGGGGTGGTGGGGCTTAGCTAAACTGTGCTAGCACTAGACTTCTCATTTCTGCCTCAGGTGCCTGTAGATCCTCTCGTTCTTGTGGCCAAGGGCTCCATGTACCTCATTCAACAGCGTTCAAGGGGGTTTGTCTGTTGTGCTTTCTGAGCATTGAGGAGGCTATGTGGTGGTGTGGTGTGCTGTTCTGAATGCAGGCAAGCCAGCTTTGCAGGAGACTTGGGCTTATACCTGGATTGTAGTGACGGTTATGCTTCCTTTGCAGCTCCTTCCGCTTCCAGTCGTTCGAGTCCTATGACTCCAGGTCTTGCCTCCCCGAGCACCATCCCTATCGCCCCAGCTATAGCTACGATTATGACTTTGACCTGGGGCCTGACCGAAATGGTGGCTTTAGCAGTCAGTACAGCGACTGCCGGGACCCAGCCCGTGAGCGGGGCTCCCTTGATGGCTTCATGCGGGGCCGGGGCCAGGGCCAGGGCCGCTTCCAGGACCGGAGCAATCCCAGCACCTTCATGCGCAGCGACCCTTACATGCCACCTGCAGCCTCTTCCGAGCCCCTGTCTGCTCCCTGGACTGAGCTGAACTATGTGGGTGGGCGGGGCCTGGGAGGCCCCTCCCCCAGCCGGCCGCCTCCTTCCCTGTTCTCCCAGTCCATGGCCCCTGACTTCGGTGTGATGGGCATGCAGGGGGCTGGCGGTTATGACAGTTCGGTGCCCTATGGATGTGGCCGGTCACAGACCCGGATAAGGGATCGGGTAAGCCTTCGGGAAGTTCTAATCTGCCTTCTTTTCAAACAGCTGAATAGAGGCAAATTTGTGTCCTGTAAGATCTGCTCATTTTTAAGTGCACAGTAGAGTTTTAGTAAAAATGTACAGAATTGTGCAGCCTTCACCACCATCTAATTTTACATTTCTACCAACTGGAAAAGACGCAAACCTCTGCCATTAGCAGTAACCCCCCCATCCTCGCCTCCAGCCTTGGCAAGCGCTAATCTGCTCTGTGTCTTTGTAGAGGTGCCTCTCCCAGACCTTTCATACGAATGTAATCATATAACATGTGGCCTTTTGTGTCTGACTTCTGCTCGGCATGAAATTGGGGGAGAGGGCAGGGTTCAACTATGTCATCTCCCTTTATTTTCTGAAAAAATCTTTTCTGCTTCTGTTCTCTGATCTTACAATCTCTCCGCTCTTCTCGTTTCTCTGGGCTGTCTAAGTGGTCCGGGTAAGCGGTATATCAGATGTGCTTGTGTCTGTAGCCCAGGCGGAGAGGGTTTGACCGCTGTGGCCCAGATGGCATGGGCAGGAAACGGAAGCAGTTGCAGATCTATGAGGAGCCGGATGCCAAACTGGCCAGGGCTGACAGCGAAGGAGATTTTTCCGAAAACGGTAGGCCCCGGGTGGGTGTAAGATGAATCTGTTTCCTGCTTGGTGCTCTGCCTGCCCGTGCTCCCACGGCCCCCACTGCAGTCAGGCCAAGCGCGGTCACTCTGGACAGTGAGCCTGGGAGGGTGAAACAGAGTGGGCCAACTCCCAGGGGGCTGACTTTCCCTCTTCTTTGTGTCTGCTAGATGATGGAGCTGCTGACTTCCGGTCAGGAGATGAAGAATTCAGGGGTGTAAGTCCATCTTCACTGGTCACCCTTCTTTGTTTCTCTAGTGTGGGATTTCTTCTTTACTTTAGCCTCTTTCTCTCAAAGAGGCAGGAGCAGCTTCTGTGGTAGACTTGACTGCTTTGCGAGTGGATTTAGTAGCCTGACTTGTAGCTAGTTTTCTAAGTTTTGCACTCATGACAATCCTTCCCTTCTTGAAAATAGCCCCAGCCCTCTCCCCAGCCATTCCCGTGTCCTCGGTGATGTGCATAGCCACACGCGTGACAAGTGCAGTGGGCTGTGTGGGCGGAGGCTTTCGAATACGCACTGAAGATTCCGGTCCTGCCGGCTCTGTGCTGGTGCTCTGGTGCCTCCTGGTCACTCAGCCCTTAACAGCCAGTCACAGGAGACGGCCGTTTAAGGCCAGCTCTGACCCATGACCACGCATGAGCACCTAGGTGGTGAGCCTTTGCCGCCGCTCCATGTTCTGATCCATGTCTGGGGTAGGGCCTGGAGACCTGGGTGTATGAAGGCTTCGACCAAGTGCTTCTGATAGTCAGATGGGGCAGGGGGAGGGTCTCACTCGCTCCCTATTTGATTTGCTTAGATCCTGAGTCTGGGTATCTTCTGTGTCTCTGCCGGTGACTTATTTAATCTTGAGCTCAATGCCTAAGAAATGGGCTGTGTTCTGATTTTTAGTTAGATGCGTCGTTTTTAATCTATACCTGGTTTGTTACAGCCTTTGGTAAATATGTACAGATGGCTGGAGAATGTGGTAAAGCCCCTTATCACATCATACTGGTCGGGGTTTCTTGACATAGAGCTGATGGATGGGCTGTTGGCACTCCCACCTGCAGAACTGTGCAGGTGCACGTTTGCCAAGGGCAATTCCTTAGCTGTAGAAAGAATTGGGAAAGGGCCAGTGACTTTAATAAAAAAGTACATTGGTCGTTACAGAATCTCAGGAGGCAACCAGGAGCAGTGACAGGACACACTCAGCCTTTCTCACTGCCCTGGGACTTGTCCTGACACATTGTGACCACGTGGTGGCAGGGTGCTGGGTCGTTTGTGGAGAGTTCTGGAAAGTCCACCTCATGGTCCCGACTTTGTGTGTTCCCTTTTTCAGGAGGACGAATTCTTCGACCCCGGGAGGCAGAGAGGTAGGCATTCCTTGGTGTCCCTTTGAGCTTTCCTGTGTCTGCTCAGCTCCCAGCCGGGCTGGCCTTCTGAGCAAGCCTGGGGCCTGGATGGAGGGACTGATAGCTCAGGGCAGAAGAGGGGCCACGGCCACCGGGTGGGCCATGGTGCTCACCTTGAGGCTTTACTCCAGTGCTTAGACCGGCACTTGCTGGAAACAGGTCTGTTTGCCTCACTTGATGGCAGGCTGTGGAGGGGGGCGGGGGGGAACACCTCATTTCTGAGTGTCTGCAAGAGCTTGCAGTGATAGGGAAGGGAGAGTCTCAGAAATGCAAGAAAGAAAAGAAAAGGTACCCTTTAGCGCGTCCTCTCTGTTACCTACTGGCCAGTGCAGGTCCCTGTACTGTCTTTTCCTGGGCTTCTTTCTTTTCACAGTTCCCTCGGTTACCAGCCCAGGCTTGTGCCCTCGGCCTCTGTGGTGGGGATGCCGGCAGCGGCAGTGCTCCCTGCTGTGTGGGACGGAGTTCAGACACCTGCCCCGGTTGGGAGCTGGGGGCGGGGGGAGGGGAGACCTGTCAGGTACACCCAAGCCCGGGATCCTCCAGAGACTATCCTTGCTCGGCAGGGCTCACCAGTGCCCTTGCAGGGGACCTAAGAGTCCAAAGTAAGCAGCAAGAGCAGAGCAAAGTTAAACCTTTTCGAGGGGCCATGGAGAAGTAGCCTGAGACAGCGTGGCCTTGAGCTCACCCAAAAACCATTTGTTTCTTTGCCTGTTCCCATGGGTCTGTCCATAGCTGGTCTTCCCCAAGAATCACAGGCCGACTCCTTTGTGGCTCTGCCCCCGTAAATCTGCAGGCCCTTGGCTTAGATGCTCCTTCTCCCGTGTGTTCAGCCACCCCGCCGAGGTCCTCCCACCTCAATACTGAAGCAGTTATGCCTGTAGCTTGGGACCACACAGAGCATTTAGTAGCTCGTGCAGCAGGGCAAATGCTAAAGCAAAGGTGACATGTTTATTGCGCACAGGTCCTGCTGCCTACCCGGGATGACTTTGCTATTAAACAGCAGTAATAGTTTCAGGCAGTGACCTCTTGCCAAAAACCCCACACGCCCTTTTGAGAGGCTTCTGAGCAGCGCACGCCGGTCGCCATCTTCGTGGGACAGTCTCGTGACTGGCATCAGGGGTAGGGGTTACAGTTCAGATGCTTATCCAACCTTTCCTCAGTGTCTGGCCTCACGCTGGGACGCTGGGCTGCACGGCTCTCGGAGGAGCTCCTGCGCTGGCCCCAGGGGGCGACGGAGGACCAGTTGGTCTCTTCCCACTTTTGTTTCTAGGACTGCTTCCCTCGTAGCCCTGGGAAGAGCCTAGATGGACGGTTTTTGTGAGTGGAAGATAGAGTTTGGGCCAGCAAGGACTGTCAGACCTGCTGAGGCCCTAGTTCAGAGGAGGCTGACGGGACAGTCGTCACGGTCCACCCGGAGGTGGGACGGAGGGCGGTAGAGTGGCTTGCTTTATTTTCTGAGGCCTTCTAGCTGCTGCCTCTTTATTTGGGAGGAACCACTTCTCTCTCTCCTTAAGTGACTTTGGGAGAAGGCCCAATGGTAGGGCACCGGATTGGAAAAGCAGGATAGGAAAGGACAGAGGGCAGGTGGGCCACGGTGTGAGCGGGACGGGCGGGCTGGGTCCCTGGCCCATCCCAGCCTTGTCAGGCTGCGGGGGGTGAGGTGACTCCCCGGGACCTCCCGAGGGTTCTCGTCCAAGGCCCGTCGCTGCCGGGAGCCTTTGACAGGCTGTTGGTGCCTCAGGGTGTCCTGACCCTGCCGTGTGGAGGCAGCGGCGGGTACGGGGTGTGGTGGCCCAGCTGTGGCCCCCCATCAAGGCCCTGGTGCTCAGCTCCTCTGCGGGCTCCTCGGGGCATCTCGAAGGACCTTCTCCGTTGCAGGGGAGAAGGACGATGAGGATGAGGAAGTAAAGAAGAGAAGAGAAAAGCAAAGGAGGAGAGACCGGATGCGAGACCGAGCAGCTGACAGGTGAGGAGGCCGGCAAGGTGGGGGGTGTCAGGGTTCTCCAGAGCTCATCCGTTTTCACTCCACCATGCAGAGGCAGCCTGGTTTGATCTGCCTCTGGAGTCTGTCAGGAAAGGCGAGTCAGGTCGTGAGGAGACTACACCTGGGAAACACAGATGGCATCTGTTCTCACCCGTGGGTCTCTGTGGCCTGCATGTGTCCAGCAGGGGGCTCTCTTGCTCTCCTCCCCTCTGGGGAGTTTCCTTGTCCCTGGCTTGGATCTGTCAGCCCAGACAGGTGAACTGCATTCAGCAGAGCTGCTAAGAAGGTGCTTCGGGTGCCTGACCCAAACCCAGACCACCTCTAGAGTTCAGCATGGCAATTATACATGCATGGACGTTACCTTACAGATTTTGTCTCTGAATAGAAAAAGAATTGCAAAAGTGCAAAGGATGTTGGTGTGACTACACCGTGTGCCTCTCTGTCTTTCCAGTGATCAGGGGACTGCTAACTAGAAATGTAAACCACTGGTGGCCATGGGAGCCCTTGGTTGCTCAGGCCTTGACCACATGTGGTTTTTCTCTACACACAGGCTCTCCTTCTGACTTAAGGGGAATCCTTGCTCTTAAGGCTCAAATGGGGTGGTGCTTTTTCTGTGCAAAGAAACGCAAAAGAAACTGAGGTGCCTGGGTGGCTCAGATGGTTGGGTGTCTGCCTTCGGCTCAGGTCATAATCCCGGGGTGCCGCTTTCTGAGCCCCGCATCGGGCTCCCTGCCCGGTGCAGAGCTTCCTTCTCTCTCTCCTTCTACTGCTTCTCCTCTCTCACGCTCTCTGTCAAATAAATAAATAAAAATCTTTAAAAAAAGAAAGGAAACGTTAGCAGAAGAGCCAACAGTGGAGCAAGAAAGCCAGGAACTAGAAGGTAGGAGCTTCCAGGTGCTAAACAGAAACTCATCAAAATGCTTGTTTTCAAACAGATGAATACATGATGGCTAGATCAGATTATTTTCATGCCCCAGGAGAACTGAGATGACTTTCTTCCGGAAGGAGTCTTTAGACTCCACCCTAGGGACAGAGGGCCCTCAAAGAGACCTGGAGAGATTGTCACAGGGGAGGTAAAGATGCAGCAGGAAGCACGAACCCCACATTTCTTTGATAGCTTCCTGATGCCCATTCATATGTATAGGGCCCCAGAGCTTTTTCTTTTCACTTCTTTGTCAAGGGTATATGCAAAAGCAGGTGTTTTGGTGCCTTGTCCAGAGGTCAGAAGCCAGGCATTGGGAGCCGGCAGAAGTCTGAGTTGGTAGATGAGGAATCCTGAGCGTCACAGGACCTGTGCGGTGAGCCCAGATACACCAAAGCCTCCTGGGCAGAGCCGAGGGAAGCAGCGCCCCACTCTGGGGGCATAAGGCTCTGCGGGCTGCTCTCCCCTTGCCTTACACCATGATTGCATTTATGAGGTTTTTGAAAGTATGCAACAAAGACATCAGGTTTTAGCCATAGAATTTGTTATGACGGGTCTTAATGTTGAGTCCCATGTGAAAATTGACCTTGGGTTTTGTGAGTTTTAGATTGTGGAAGGTTGGGGCGCCTGGGTGGCTCAGTCGTTAAGCATCTGCCTTTGGCTCAGGTCATGATCCCAGAGTCCTGGGATCGAGCCCCACATCGGGCTCCCCACTCCGCGGGAAGCCTGCTTCTCCCTTCCCCACTCCCCCTGCTTGTGTTCCCTCTCTCGCTGTGTCTCTCTCAAATAAATAAAAAAGTCTTTAAAAAAAAAAAAAAAGATTGTGGAAGGTCTTCAGGAATTTCTCCCTCACATTAAAACGAGGCTCCCATGTGTTATTTTGGTGGCTACGGAAAGAAGTTACAGAGTTAGGTACTACGCCCCCTGCAGAGCAGTGGTCTGGGGGCCTTTAGGGAGTCCACAGTTTGGAAAGTCTCCACCTTAGGGTGTTCTCTTGTGGGCCTTTGGGCCAAAAAGACTGGTGTGGTGCATGAATCATTTTCCTAAAACACTTTCAAGATTGTACCCCCATTCTCAGGATGGGGAGACCTGGGGCATCTGCTACTCTGATGCCCCACTCAAAGTCAGAAGTCTTGATACAGAAATTGCTTCGTGTTTCCCTTTCTGTTCCAACCAGAGATGAGCTCGTTATTCCTATGTCATCGTTCTTTCTGTCTTTCTTTTCCAGGATTCAGTTCGCTTGTTCTGTGTGCAAGTTTCGTAGCTTTGAAGATGAAGAAATCCAGAAGCATCTACAAAGCAAGTTTCACAAAGAGACACTGAGGTTTATCAGTACCAAACTCCCTGACAAAACAGTGGAGTTCCTCCAGGTAAAGCACCCTCGGCCTCAATCACAGTGTTTCCTGATGGTCGTGCAGGAATTGGATCCCTCACGGAGAAGGGAAAGGGAAGGGAAATCAGAGGCCTGGACTTTGCAGAGTAACAGCAAACAAGTCCCAGGTCGGAGGGAGAGCCGAGCGCTCTGGCCATTGCAGTCCCCATGAGTTCCGCCCACAGAGCTGCTCGGAGAGCCGTCTTCCCTTCCTTGGGGCAGCTGAGCGGTAGGCACACGCACCACGCTGTCCTCGCTTCATTCGGTGCCATCTTCTCTAGGAGTACATCGTAAACAGGAACAAGAAAATTGAGAAGCGGCGTCAGGAGTTGATGGAGAAGGAAAGCACGAAACCCAAGCCAGATCCTTTCAAAGGTGAGTTGTGATCTTGGGGCACACTATTCCACATGCTGCCAAGGCATGTGGCTGGGTGCAAAGCCAGCCCAGCGCAGGGCTGCTGAGAATGGGACAGGAAGACCCTCAGGCAGGCTGCCTGGCCGTGGAAAGAAGCCCGTGAGTGTGGCCTAATGAATGTCACAGCTCTGCTGGCAGCATATTGGACTGATAGGAAGCCTTCTGGTGTTTTTTCCTCCCTTGTTTGAAGAGAAATGACCAGAAGGATGAAAAGAGTGGAAGAGTCAGATCCCCAGGTGTAGAGGTGCTTCTGTCTGCACACTCCTGCTGGAGGGCAGGTGATGGCCCCCACAGATTCTGTCTTAACCTGGTCCTGCGGGACTACCGGCAGAAAATTGGGGCCCTGTGGGGGGGCAGGAGGAGAGCATCCCTTGCCTGCTGCCCCAGATCGCACCAGACTTGGGTTGTGTCTACAGGGATCGGCCAGGAGCACTTTTTCAAGAAGATAGAGGCCGCTCACTGTCTGGCTTGTGACATGCTGATCCCCGCACAGCATCAGCTCCTCCAGCGGCACCTGCACTCGGTGGACCACAATCACAACCGCAGGGTGAGTCCCCTCCTCGGGCCGGGCCGGGCGAGCACCTGCAGGCGGCCAGCACTGGGGCTTAGAGCCTTCTGTGTCTTGTGGGGAATGCTAGCATCTTTAGAAGCTCTTGACAGAGTCCACCGAGTCCGTGATTTCATCAATGGGTTGTAGAAGGGATCCCAGTCTCTACTAAAATGTGAAAAAACACGTTGCTTAGGGTTGACTTAAATAGAGTAGCTGAAATTCTCCTGGTTGAGAATGTTCCTTGGCAAACCACACAGGTAAGTTTCCCAGTTGCTGACAAACTGGATTTTCTGGGAGTGGAGGCTGAGGGCCATTCAGAACACAGTGGCCTGGGGACCCAGAGTTAAGAACTGATTTGGTCCTAATTAGCTGATGGGACCCGAGGCTAAATGTGTAGCTCAGGGTATTGGCAGATTTTTTTTTTTTTTAATAAAGGGTCAATTCAAACGTTTTTGGCTTTTTGCAGGCCACTGGGTCTCTACCACCTCAAGGCCGCTGCCGGTGGGCAGAGGCAGCAGAGTCCAGATAGAAAGCATGGGCGTGGCCGCATTTGGCCCATAGGCTCGCTTGCTGAGTCCTGATTCAGTGCCTGTCCTTAGTCCTGCCCACGCATCTGCTAGCTTATGAAAGATCATCCGAAGAGCACTATACCAACAAGGGATTATTGTTTGAATGGGTCAAGCTCTAAAAGATCCAAATGGTTGCAGCATTCCTACTTCTGCTGCTGAATTTACTTATAAGGTCACTATAACTCCGAAAACCGAAAAGAAAAAACTTGCCCTTCTGCCATACCGAGCCCACATAGCACCCGTGGTCGGTCTGTAAGTGTTCTCGTTCCATCCTTGCTCGTGCACACGGGACCCGGACGTCCGTGGCATGCCTGTGCTTTTTATCTTTCATCAGACTTTCATACACTGCCTCACGGTCTCAGTTCCGCTTTCCCTCCAGGGCCTTCTTTCTCTCCTTATTGGAGTCTGGCATCTCGGGATTTGCCTAGTGGAGAGAGCTCGTAGTCCTTGTTCTGTCTTGGGCTGATCCCAGGGCAACTCAGTGGAGCCTGGCTAGTTTGTGTTCTTGCTCCTCTGTGCACCGCATGTGTAAAAGTCCCTTTGGTTCCCTTTGCAGTTGGCTGCTGAACAGTTCAAGAAGACCAGTCTCCATGTGGCTAAGAGTGTTTTAAACAACAGACACATAGTGAAGATGCTGGAAAAATACCTCAAGGTTTGTGCTTAGGAGTGCAGCAGACGGGAAAAGGTTCTGGAATGCAAGATGAACTCTGCGAGTGTGGAGTTGCATGCAGAGTGCAGTATTTAGCATTTCTGAGTCTTAAGAAGAATGGATGGGGTGCAGGAATGTATCGGGGTGGGTTTCCTGTGCCTCCCTGCTCGCCCGGGCTCTGGGACATGGTCCTGCTTGATTGGTCTGTGTGCTGGTGCGAGCTCACCATGAGAAACCTCAAATACCCACAAAATACTGAGCAAGTGATGCTGAAGTGCTTACAGGGAAATCCAGGTTAGATAATGGTTGTCCAGGAAAGAAGCCAAAAAGAGGTTTTGCTGGCAGAGACCAGTAGCCATGAGCCAGGAACGTGAGGGGGAGGAGGAGCCGGCGGTACAGCAGCTACTGAGCCTTAGTGATGGGAGCAGAGTAATAGAGAGTCCCAAAGAGGGCACCCCAGAGAGAAGTCCAGCTGGCGGAGCCCCTGGTTCCTCCTTTGGGAAGCCCCACTTGCTAAACGCTCAGCCCCAGACTTCCACATGGGGCGCGCGTAGTTAAGCGCCAGCACAGCCCAACAATGAGGACCTGTTTGCCCACCTCTCAGTTACTAAACCCTTCAGTACGTGGACGGTTCCTGCCAGCCATTTAAAGGCATAGACTCTAAATAACCAATTTAAGAACCGTGACTGGTCAGTGTTTTTGTTTTTATTTTTTTTATTTTAAAGATTTTTTTTTTTTAATCTTAAGTAATCTCTACACCTAACGTGGGGCTCGATCTCATGACCCTGAGATCAAGAGTCGTGCGCTCCCCTGACTGAGCCAGCCAAGTGCCCACTAAATACTGTATTTTAAAACCTATTTCTTGGGTGCCTGGGTGGCTCAGTGGTTAAGCGTCTGCCTTCGGCTCAGGTCATGATCCCAGGGTCCTGGGATCGAGTCCCACATCGGGCTCCCTGCTCAGCGGGAAGCCTGCTTCTCCTTCTCCCACTCCCCCTGCTTGTGTTCCTGCTCTCGCTGTCTCTCTCTGTCAAATAAATAAATAAAATCTTAAAAAAAAAAAAACCTATTTCTTAATCTGCCAATGATTACGTTTTACATTTTCTAAACTAGAGACAGTTTTTAGCCTAAGTTTGGCTTCTGAGAGTCAGACTTGGATTCCATCCTGACTGGTGTTCAACAGTTGTGTGGCCTTGGGCAACTTGCTGAGTCTCCTTTCCTTATCTGCAAAATGGGGCACCCTTATAACCAGGGCTGTGTGCTTAAATGAAACTAAAATTTAAAATAGTCTTGGGTGCCTGGGTGGCTCAGTTGGTTAAGCAACTGCCTTCGGCTCAGGTCATGATCCTAGAGTCCCGGGATTGAGTCCCACATCGGGCTCCCTGCTCAGCGGGGAGTCTGCTTCTCCCTCTGACCCTCTCCCCTCTCATGCTCTCTATCTCATTCTCTCTCTCAAATAAATAAGTAAAAATCTTTAAAAAAAAATTAAATTCTCTCTCAAAAAAAAAAATAAAATAGTCTTAACTTCCTGTTACGAGGCTTTTTTGTTTCAATTGGGTTAAGAAATCTAGGTCTTTTTGAACTTTTCTTCACTGTCATGTGCTTGAATAAAAAGTGCAGAACGGGGGCAGTTGTATTAAATATTTGTAAATCGGGACACCTGGGTGGCTCAGTCGCTTAAGTGTCTGCCTTTGGCTCAGGTCATGATCCCAGGGTCCTGAGATTGAGCTCCGCGTCGGGCTCCCTGTTTGGCAGGGAGTCTGCTTCTCCCTCTGCCTCTCCTCTCCATGTGCGCGCTCTCGCTCTCTCGCTTTTTTAAGATTATATTATTTATTTGTCAAGAGAGAAAGAGGGAGAGAGCACAAGCAGGGGGAGCTGCAGCAGGGGGAGAAGCAGGCTCCCCACTGAGCAGGGATCATGACCTGAGCCGAAGCAGACTCTTAATCGAGTAAGCCACCCAGGCGTCCCTCTCTCTCTTTCTCAAATAAATAATTAAAAATCTTTAAGATAAATAAATATTTATAAATACTTCATTCTAAAAAGCCTCTGAATGAGGGGAGAGAAGTACATCTTTCAAAAACCCATTGCGAATATCAAAATTACTAGTATTAAAAACAAGAATAGCCCCTGATTCTGCTTTGCCCTTTCTGCTCTAGGTCCTAGCTAGCTAAGTAAGACAATAAAAGCTGAAAGACAAAAGGTGCAAAAGTGGTTGCGATGAGGCTTTTCTGAGAACCTTTTCTGAATCTGAAGGCGCCGAGCACCCGTGGGATGCACTCACCTGCTGTAGTGGGAAGTGTTCCTCTTGTTGGCTGTTCAGCCTAAAAACATGGATTCCCGGCAACCTGGGCCCCCTTCAGTCTCCCCTCTGCACTGACATGTTGCTCTTCTTGGCCAGGGTGAAGACCCTTTCACCAGCGAAGCTGTCGATCCAGAAATCGAAGGGGATGACAATTTGGGAGGTGAGGAGAAGGAGGAGACACCCGAGGAGGTGGCCGCGGAGGTGTTGGCCGAGGTCATTACGGCAGCAGTGAGAGCGGTAGATGGGGAAGGAGCGCCGGCTCTGGAAGGTGGTGACGCGCTGGCCGAAGGGGAAGACCCTGTGGACGCGGCCGAGGCCACTCGCGGTCCCCACTCTGAACAGCCACTGGAAGTGGAGACACCGGGTGGCGTGGCCTTGGAGAAGGGCGGCACCGAAGCGGAGGCCGGAGGGGAAGTGCAAGCGGCCGCAGCAGAGGCAGAAGGCACTGTCAGGGTCTCGGCCCTGGCCCCGGCTATCACCGAAGCCAAAGCAGAACAGACTGATGCAGAACCCAAAGATGTCCTTCCCACAGAATGATCCTCCTCCCTGTTGCAAGGGATGGGTTTCATAACGCATTGCTCTTTTTCTCCTTTTGTTTGTAAGCAGAACTAGGGTGTGTGTTACTGGAACATGCTGGAAACTTTGGTGAAGAGACCCAGCCATTTGCTTCAACAAAGTGTACCTCGTGGGGCTTGTCTTTAGGGTTGTATGGCTTTCTGCCTTGGCTCGCAGGCTGCAGAAGTTGTACATTCCCCCAAGTGGCTGTGAAGTCTCTACACTGCAGGTGGAATAATAAAAGTTGGCTAATTAGATTTTGATGACATTTTGCTTGTTAAATACAGCAACTGGCTGAATGCCCTTTTTATTTTATTTTTTTTTCTGAGAGCAGTTTAATACTGGGATATATCTTGCTTTATAACAGGATTTTTTTTTTTTTTTTAAGTTTTAAGAATTGGCTTCGGCTTCGGTTTTTGACCTGCTTTGGTAGCACACTGCGTATGGTGTGTGATCCTCACAAGATGTAGCAGAATCTTGTGAACGTGACGTTGGTTCTGTCACATCTGTGGATTGTGCTCCAAGGCCTCATGAATCTGATAGGCCTGCACCCTTGGACGCCCTCCCACTCGCCCCTCAAGAATGAGGACATTTTGCCTAGGGCATTACTTTCCCAATCTTTAGTCTTTGGTGAATCACCTTTATAGTTTGGAGTTTTTTTGTGTTTGTCTTTTTTCTTTTTCTTTTTTTTTTAAACCTCATTTGTGTTCCACCTCTGTTACTTCAGGGTTTTTTGTTTTTTTCCTTTAAATTGAGTTACTCCTTTAAATATATTTAAAAAAAAAAATTGGTGTCACTCCCATGAATGGAAGATATATAAATTGCTATAGATAGATGCTATCTGTAAGAAATGAATATAGTGAAATAAACACATTTCAGATAAATACTATTCCTTTGGAGGTTTCTAAACCTGTGGGAAAGGAGAGCTAGCGTGTGTTAAAAGGTAGCAAGCAACAGTTAACGCTTTCATATAATCCAAAGAAGTGGAAGATAACTTCCCTCTTGAAATGATACTGTTGGGTCTGTTTTCCCTGCAAACCCTTGAACAGTCTCACTGGGGGAAGCATTGGCCAGAGGGAATTTACTAGATGGTAAAAAGACTCGATGAGCATCTACTGTGTACCAGGTGCTAATTCATGATCAAAGTAAGAGATGGGCCCTGCTCCCAAGGACCTTTATTAGAGATGTGAGATGAATATTTATGAAAAGTCGATATAAGAATTAGAAACCAATAAATTGCTCAGTACGCAAGAAAATGGTGTCTCTGAATTGTTGGCGCCCGTCGTCACTGCTGTTACACAGATGTGCCTTAGTCCCCGGTTGTGCGTGCCCTTGGAAGTTTCTTCTCTTGAGGCAAAAAGGCTGGTGGCATTGAACATCAGTAGTCTCAAAAAGGATAACAGAACTATGAAACTGCTCTGGTTTGTCTCTCGTAAATGTAATCCAAGGCCTGTCCTTAAACCGATCTAAATTTCAGGGCGGTTCTTCCCCCTCACCCAATGTGAAAGGACACGAATCATTTTACTTCTCAACTTGGCTTAAACCAGGCCCTCGTTGCCCAAGATGGGCGTAACTCCTTGGCTTGCACAAAGGGATGCCCTTCTGTCTCCTGAGGGGACAGGAATAAACTGCAAGCTGTCTCATTTCGGTCATTTCTCACTTGCAGAGGAGAAACCAGAGGGGAAGGTTCAGTAACTTTTAGGGTCATCTATCAAAGATAGCCCAAATTAATACACAGATCTGTGAGACACCAATGGCCATGAACTTTATATACGGCACCTTTATTTAAAAAGGTTTGTGGGGTGGGGCGCCTGGGTGGCTCAGTGGGTTAAGCGTCTGCTTTCAGCTCAGGTCATGATCCCTGGGGGCTCCCTGTTCACTGGGGAGTCTGCTCCCTCTCCCTCTGCCGCTTCCCTTGCTTGTGCTCTCTCTCAAATAACTAAAAGATCTTTTTTTTTTTTAAGGTTTTATTTATTTGACAGAGCGAGAGAGGGAACACAAGCAAGGGGAGGGGGAGAGGGAGAAGCAGGCTTCCCGCCGAGCAGGGAGCCCGATGCGGGGCTCAGTCCCAGGACCCCGGGATCATGACCTGAGCCGAAGGCAGACGCTTAACAACTGCGCCACCCAGGCGCCCCAAATAACTAAAAATCTTAAGAAAAAGTTTTAGGGACACCTGGGTGGCTCAGTTGGTTAAGCAGCTGGCTTCAGCTCAGGTCACGATCTCCAGGTCCTGCATCGAGTCTGCTCTTCCCTCTCCCCCACTCCTGCTTGCACACTCTCTCAAATAAATAAAAATCTTCAAAAAAGTAAAAGGTTTACAGAATTTGGCAATCCCTGCTACTCCCAAGCAGAAAGATCTTAGGAATGGCAGCCTGATGTCAGCTTCATGTAATCCTACTGTGGGCCTGTGTGATTTCATTGGGGTTTTTATGAAATTAATACAGTTGCTAAAGGGTAAACACCACAGTGTAATGAGCAAAGTGCTCATTCAGGAGTACATCAGGGGCACCTGGCTGGCTCAGTTGGAAGAACAGGTGACTCTTGATTTCAGGGTTATAAGTTCAAGCCCCACATTCACTATATGTAGAGATTACTAAAAGTGAAAGAGTGCATAGTCTGGGGCGCCTGGGTGGCTCAGTCACGTAAGTGTCCGACTCTTGATTTCGGCTCGGGTCAATGATCCCAGGGTCTTGAGACTGAGCCTGGCCTTGGGCTCCTCACTGAGCATGGAGCCTGCTTGGGATTCTCTCTCTCTCTCTCTCTCCCTCTGCCCCTCCCCCTCTCAAAAAAAAAAGTGCATAGTCAGTATTACAAGTCCTCTCCAATTAAATTTTGGACCATAAAAAAAACATTTCCACTGCCCAACAACCTGGCTGAAAGTGGTCCCTGCTCCCTAGAAGTGCAGCCAGTAGTGTTTAAACAGGCACAGTGAAGTTCAAGTAGAACTTCAGAACCAACAGATAAGCCTTTTAGCATTTTATGGAAGTAGTCTCCTTGGAGCATTTCGTAAACAGATGGGTTGGGAAATCCACGGTGTGGCTTTATACTGATTTAATACTGATAGCTCTTGGACCATTGCAAAAGTATCGGAGGGCACCTGGGTGGCTCAGGTCATGATCGCAGGGTCCTGGGCTCGAGCCCCCACATCGGGCTCTGTGCATGGCGGGAAGCCTGCATCTCCCTCTCCCTCTGCCTGCCGCTCCCCTGCTCATGCGCGCGAGCACCTGTGCACACTCTCTCTCTTTGTCAAATAAACAAAATATTTAAAAAAAAAAGGAAAAAGTACTGGGTCACTTCCTTTATCTTTTACAAGGACACTGAGGCCAATGAGGTTGGTTTTCAACAAACAGACTTACGGTCTAGGCACCTCCTGCCTCCTCTCAAAACACTATCTGGTGCAGGTATACTTTATATAGATAAATTAGAATTCAGCTTGGGGGACAATATGGTGGGGAGGGGGCAATCCACTCTCACCGGGTTGGTTGTCAGAACTGAATGAGATAGTAAACGTTCAGCACTGTTGACAAAGTGGTTTGACGAGCTCAACATTTTTTTCTTTTTTAAAGATTTTATTTATTTATTTGACAGAGACAGCGAGAGAGGGAACACAAGCAGGGGGAGAGGGAGAGGGAGAAGCAGGCTTCCCGCCGAGCAGGGAGCCCGATGCGGGGCTCGATCCCAGGACCCTGGGATCATGACCTGAGCCGAAGGCAGACGCTTAACCATCTGAGCCACCCAGGTGCCCTATTTTTTTAATTTTTTAAAGCTTTTAAGTAATCTCTACACCCAAAGTGGGGATTGAACTGACAACCCCAAGATCAAGAGTCCCGTGCTTCAGGGACTGAGCCAGCCAGGCGCCCCTCCATTAGCCGTTTTAAAACGGACAATGCGGTGACATCGGGTACACTCACAGTGTTGTACAACCTGTACCTACAATTCGTTCCCAGACATTTTCCTCGCCCTTAAAGGAAACTGCCTCCCCACTGGCACTAACCCCATTCCTCCCTCCCCCATCCCCTGACGACCAGTGATCTGCTTTCCATCTCTGGATTTATTTGGTCTGGATGTGTTTCATGTTCAGGGAGCCATACAATATGTGACCTTTTCACTATGGCTTCTTTCACGAAGCATGTTTTTGAGGTTCCTCCATGCTGGAGCCTGAATCCATACATCATTCTATTTTATAGCTGAATACTACTCCACTGCATGTGTATATACCACAATCTGTTCATCCAGTCATCCAATAAGAGATATTCGAGTTCCCACGTTTTGACTATTGTGAATAATGCTGCTAGGAACATTCTTTTTTTTTTTTTTTAAGATTTTATTTATTTATTTGAGAGAGAGAATGAGGGAGAGAGAACACATGAGAGGGGGGAGGGTCAGAGGGAGAAGCAGACTCCCCGCTGAGCAGGGAGCCCGATGCGGGACTCGATCCCGGGACTCCAGGATCATGACCCGAGCCGCAGGCAGGCGCCCAACCAACTGAGCCACCCAGGCGCCCACTAGGAACATTCTTGAACAAGTATCTGAGTACCAGGGGCGCCTGGGTGGCTCAGTTGGTTAAGCAACTGCCTTCGGCTCAGGTCATGATCCCAGAGTCCCGGGATCGAGTCCCGCATCGGGCTCCCTGCTCAGCGGGGAGTCTGCTTCTCCCTCTGACCCTCCCCCCTCTCATGTGCTCTCTCTCTCATTCTCTCTCTCAAATAAATAAATAAATAAAATCTTAAAAAAAAAAAGTATCTGAGTACCTGTTTTTAATTCTTTGGGATATACACACCTAGGAGTGGAATTATGTCACATGGTAATTCTATGGTTAATTTTTCGAGGAACCACCACATTTTTTCCCCCACAATAGCTGCACCATTTTGCATTGCCATCAGAAATGTACAAGAGTTCCAATTTTTTCACATCCTTACTGAGACTTCCATTTTTTTTTTTTTTTTCCAATTCCGGCCATCCTAGCAGGTGTGAAGTGGTATCTCATTGTAGTTTTACGTTTCCCTGATGACTCCTGATGGTGGACATTCCTTCATGTGCTTGTTGGCCATTTGTTTACGTTTGGAGAAATGTCTATTCAAGTTCTTTGGCTGTTCTTTTTTTTTGAGAGAGAGAGAGAGAGAGAGAGCGCCTTGTGAGGAGGGGCAGAGGGAAAGGGAGAAAGAGAATCCCAAGCAGGCTCCACAGCCAGCATGGAGCCTGACACAGAGCTTGATCCCAGGACCCTGAGATCATGACCTGAGCTGAATTTAAGAGTGGGACGCTT